TCAGAATTTTTTTTATTATGAGAGATTAAAGAATTTAATATTAACCATTAGATGAAATTTAAAGACGTAGATGAAAAGTTTCTTCTAAAACCTCACAAGACCTATCTTTCAATTTTCTCGGGCTCACTCTCCATCTCCCGTGACTCTTCCTTACGTGCTTTTTTGCCACCATGTTCTTCCTATCACGCGACTACCTTCTTCTCCTCCCTCACCTGTCTTTACAAGTTGGATCAACTGTTGGTTCCTTTAATAAATCACCAAGTTAGGTACTCTAGCAAAAATTATATTGTCTCTTTCACTAAAAAAAAAATTATATTTTCTAGCAATTTTAATAAATTACAAAAAAAATAAATTATTTTAACTGTACAAAATAATTAAATTTTTGACAATTTTAAACCGTCACAATATTCTTTGCGTCATCAAGTGACTAACTGAATTAAATTATATTCTTATTCTTATCAAAAGAATTAAAAGAATAAAAATAAAGAGTTAGAACAACTTAAAATTAAAATAATAAAAGAATTAATTACTTATATACTGTTCAGTTATTTCAGCGTAAATTTTTTTTATACTAATAACTAATTTATATCTTTTAAATTATTTTATTTTATTTTTAATTTATTAAATAAACAAGTAAGATGATATTAATAAAAGATATGCGTAAATATTTTTACACATGTATAGATGATTAATTCTTAAAAGAAAGCATGCTTGGCTTCGCTTCACGCCCAACTTCTTCTGTTTCCGTCAAAAGCTCAACATAATGTTCGGGGAGCTAATTTGCAATAAAATCATTTCGCAAACTATCTAATTTAGGGTTAGTAATTTCGCAAGAACTTTTTTAAATTTTCTTTTCTCTTAGTTGTTCTTCAATCGATTGTTTCTATTTAAGGTAAGTTTTGAATTCATATCCATTTTGATTTCCTATTTTTGTTATGTATAATATTTCATCATAATTTTTTTGTTTAAAGGTTTTAGGTGAAACAAATTTTTCAGAGATTACGAATTTGAGGTAAGGGAGTGTGAGTTGTACACGCATATTGAGTGAACTTTATAAGGAAAGCATTTTGTGTGGCAGGTGTGTCTTCTCATCTTTGTTTGCACGAATCCAAGGCCAAGGAGAATAGTATGTCTTATTATGTCTCTTTCTTTTGCATCGTTAGATCTCGCCCTCCTTTCATCTTTTCAATTTCTTCTTACTCTTCTTGTTTGCTTATTTGTTTGTTTTTTTTTCTTTTTCACATTTTTAATTACTTTTTTTGGGTGGATATTTTATTCTCCCACTAGTTATTTTCCTCTCTTCTTTCTATTTCTAATCCATTAGTTTAATTTATTGGTCTGGGAAATGGATTTTTTCCCTCTTTTGTATTAAGCAGGGGACCAAGCTATGGCTCTCGGGACAAAGTTCTCCCGGCTTTAGAAGATAAATGGGCTTCAAAAATTGGGGTTAGGTTTGATAAATCAATTCCAGATGGCAATGATCTTGGTGGCCTTTGCGAAGATGATCGTGGGTTCTTTTGCTCTGGTAATTCAATGTATTTGATTGTACTTCTGTTTCTTTAGTTGCATATTATTACACTGCACTCTATAATTTTGGCACGTATAATTCATTTGTGATTTATACTGCAGCAAATCATTTACTACGAGTAGATGGCTCTGGAGTGGATGACCTTGGCAAAGTTGCAATTAATGAAATGTTTAAGGTTTGCCCCAGTTCTATTATATACTTGTCCAGAAGTTGTTTCTATTCATAAAGAAATATACTTAACACCCTTCTCTGTTGTGTACATAGGTTGCATCAAATCAAAGTAAAACTGGCGCACTTGTGTTGTTCATTAAAGATATAGAGAAGGCAATGGTTGACAACTCTAAAATTTTAAAAAAGTAAATTTGAAAGCTTGCCACCGAATGTCATGGTAATTGGTTCTCACACCCAGTTGGATAATCGTAAGGAGAAGGTACTGTTTCACTAATATCATTTGTTAGCTAGCATTTGGTTATTTATATCATGATTAGAGCAAAACTTTGTATTTGTTTTTTTTGACTTTGAAGAGAATAAACTAAGTTATCTATACTACCACCTAAGTGGGAAGAAAGTAAACGACTAAATTATCAGTTTTTTAAAGAGGTCAACGATAATTTTGAGTGTTTGGTGGCTTAGAAGTTGAGGAAAGGATTCATGCAATTATGATGCATGTGGCGTATGAAATAGAATCGATTCCATTCTACCCATCTAATTAACTTTAGATATAATGACTATGATATATCTGCTGACACACACATACATAAAGCATTTTAAATTATAGATGGGATATTAATAATATACTTGTAACAATCTAAATCACATGCCTAGTTTTAATTATAAAAAATATGTACTTAGTTTACATTTGATACGGAAAAAATGGATTGACTTGTAATGTCCTACCCTATTTTGTCACTGACTTCTCAAAAATAGAGTTAAATGAATTAGTTTGATTTTTTTGGCTGAGTTGGATATCTTAATACTTGTTAATACCATTATACGCATCATAAATTGGTTTTTTTGGTTCCTTTTGGAATTAAATATCAATCTACTATAATTTGGTCCTTTGTTTAGGATAACTTGAGTAGACTGCATCATAGGAGCAAAGAAACCCACAGTCATGAAGCAACTTAATCGCCTTTTTCCAAACAAAGTGACTGTACAGTTGCCTCAGGTATCAGTGTATCATGTTATACTCATTTGATTTTGCAATTTATAATGTTGCTAATTTGCTATTTACCTATGAAATATCTATTTTGCTTCCAAACTTGTACAGGACGAGGCTTTACTTTATGACTGGAAGCAACGGTTAGATCATGACATTGAAACTATGAAAGCTCAGTCCAATGTTGTCAACATTCGCTCAGTGAGTCTTGCAAAATCTCTTGATCATATTCAATGCTTAATCTTGCTGTACTTCTTGTCTATGGTTTTAGTTTTGTGTTTGTTCTTGGATGAGATTAGTTATTGTGTGCCTTTGGAGCATGTGACCTCACATGCAGAAATTTCCCCACTGGGTTTAACAAATTGTCTTTTTGAAAGTTGTTTATGTGGACAAACCGCTTTACTGTTTCTTGGTCAAAGCTGCCCATCCTTGGCTTCCATATCATTTGTTGTTTGGTTCATATCCATAGTTCCTTTGCTTGTTACTTCTATCATAGATACATAAATGTTCCATTTAAACATTAAAAGAATCACTTATGCACATTTTTTTGACAATATGCTCCATTCTGGCATGTCTCTGTCTTGACTTTGGTATATTAAATATTATAATTTATATTTGTTTTGCATGTCAAACATTTGATGAAATTCTTCGAATGATTCAGGTTCTCAACAAAATTGGATTGGTTTGCCCTGAACTTCTGTATTTAAAACAAAATCATCATTACTCTGGAGCTTAGAACCAACATCAAGTATATCTGATTTGGGTGCAATATATAAGCTGCTTTTATAGCAAATAGTTCTTTAATGAAGAGAAAGAAAGTAAAGGCTTGACTGTCATGTTTTAAACTACCAAATTATTTTCATTAGCAAATTGTCTCATATCAGCCAGTCAAAGTAAGTAAGTACCAAATGATGCATGTCTTCATTTTTCATCTCACTGCTAAATATCTTCAAATTTTTATTTTTTGAACATGAAATGATGTTATTTAAGGTTATAGTGAGTTGTGACCGTTATTCCTTTGAGATTTGGTGATGGAATCATACTTGGGAATGCAAGAAGTGACACACTCAAAGACCCAAGAGGAGTTGGCTAGACATGAGGGTTTGGGCCAATCAGGCCCCAATGGGCCTGATGGGGCTAAGAAGGCCCAAGTTGAACTTTTCATGGACCATATTTTATTATAGCTATTTTCATATGTTTTGTATACGTCATGTTAGTATAGGTATCATATATTTTAGTCTTGTATTTTGGACCACATAGAGTAGCATTTTAGGTTTTAGGCTTGTTGGGCCTAGTTTTGGGCTTCATGGGCCTTTGGGCTTTTGGTACCCAATATTGGGCTCATTTTCATTCTTGTAATTTTTCCTTTCCATTGTAATTGTTGGACCAATGTATTTAGGTCATTAGAATAGGAAAATACAAGGAATACTAAAGTATGCTAATTAGGTTAAACTAGGTTTAATTTGGAAGCCATTTAAGTTACATTTGAGTCACATGTTTTGCACCATTGGTGGCTGAACATGTGACACTCAAATTAACCCTAAATGACTCTCAAATCAGACCTAGATGCACATTAGGTACCTAAAATTTCGGAGTAACACATGGGAGCCAAAATTTGAATTCAAATTTTGGGCACCACATGTCACCTTTGAGTTAGGCGCCCAAAAATGTGCAAAACCGGTTGCTACTTAAGCTATTTCTTCACCTATTGTATTCACTTTGAATCATATATGAAATTTGTGAGCCATAGTGCCGAGTTTCTCTCTTCAAAGTCTCTAAGATTTCACCTCAAAACCCTAGGAATTTCACCTTATTCCTTCTCTTTGAAGTGAGCTCTCCATTGATGCTTGAGCTTGGATGCTTCCATCCAAGGCTAGACTTAATTCCATCTGTGTTCCTCCACCATTCAAGAGCCATTCCATTCGGTGTTATCTCCTTTGAAGAAGATCCGTGCCTAGGAGGAGTTTAGGAGGAGTTCAACCTTCACCTCTCCTATTTCCTTCTATCATTTGGTTCCTCTAAAAATCAATGGTTAGGATTGTGATAAAATACAAACATGTGTATAACAACCTATGAAGTTGTTGAAATCTCAACTATTTTTTATTCAGTAGACAAATTGAACAAAAGTGAAGCTAAAGCTGTGTGATTTGGTCATGCATTTAGGGATAGTTTAGTTATCAAAGGGTATCTATCCAACCCTTCTTATTGCTTACTCTTATATATAGCTAACTGAAAACTGAATTTATTGGATTTTGTTATTTATAAGAGTTGCAAACTTAGGTGTCCCAAACTTGGGTGTGGAAGCAACTAGTGATGTAACGTCTTCTGGTCCAGTTATATTGGCAAATCTCCAAACACTACAAGAAAATGACGATTTTGCGACAGTTATATGGCCTATATTGCGACGGTTAGAACTGTCGCAAAGACACCATTGCGACGGTTCACCAATTGTCGCAGAAATGTCCGCCACGAGTGAATTTTGCGACGATTACTGGAATCGTTGCACAAACCGTCGCAAAATTGGAATTGCGACCCTTAAAGCACCTGACACACTAACTACCTCTAATCTATGATGAATAAACCATTTTAATTAGAACACTAATCTAGTCTCTAAATCAATCACTAAATATTTATTTTTTATTTTATTATATTTTATAGACGTCTCAAATTCGGTCGCTATTCTTCTCAAGGATTCTATTTCACAATACTTCACTTTTTAGCATGTTTTGTCTTTACTTACACAATTTTCGGGAAACTTCCCAGAAGGTCACCCAACCTTATATTTCTTCAAGTCAAGCACCCTTAACTGTGAAGTTCTGATGAGATAAGCTATTGAGAAGCAGATACATGTTGTTAGTATAAGTAGTACAAATTAATTCATTTAAGTCATTCTCAACTATACAATCGCATACTTATACTATCTTTGGATTTCTCTTATTTCAGTGTATCCGAACCGTTATAAATATATAATAATTATATTACTAATAATAATTAATTATATTTAATTAATCTTTATTTATATATATACTTACTTTTATAATTAACAATATACTTATTTCTGTTTAAAATTAATATTATGATACAATTTGAATTATTTATTATAAATTTAAAAGTTTAAATAATAATTTATATATTTTAAAATGAGAAAGGTTATAATAACATCGGTGTAACTTTTACTAAGTATTGCACCGTTTAATAATTTTATATTAAATGTGAATTTTGTAAATCTAACTGTTGGATTGAAAGTTCATATCACTTTATATGTTTATATTAAATTTTGTTAAAATTGAACAAATTGAAGGTAATCAAAGTGTTCATATTTTAATATATTTTGAAATGCATATATTACGTCAATTTTGTTTTACAAGAATGAAGTATCAAATCATCTTAAATTAATATAAAATTTTGTCTATATGATCTAAGAGTAAAAAACTTTCAATCTAACAGTTGAATTTATAAAATTCACATTTAATATAAAATTATTGAACAGTGTTTCTTAGTCTCTTTGTTTGATGATGGAGTCCTCTAATTTTTCTTTTTGTTTTGGAACTAGCTTTATTATTTTGTATCCATTTGGAACATTGCATTTTCAAAAACTCACCACTGACTTGACTTCATTGTAAAGTTTGCAATTGTTTCAATTATATATAACAGATTGAGTGTTGTTGAGGGAAAACTAGACCTTACATAACATAGACACCACGTTCTTCCACAAAATGCATTTTAATGTTACTTGTTTTACAGTTTCTAAGGGTTTAAAACCGCTAGAAATGTTGAATCAAGCAAAATTTAGATGAATTTTGTAGTGGTCTTAAACTATCAGAAACTGTAAAACAATTAAACATTAAACTGCCACAAAGTGATTGAATTTTCTGACATCCAAAATCAGCGTTTACAAAATATACGTCGCAAGCTATTTTTGGCAACTGTCAAAATAACCTCCACAAATTACACATTTTTTTGTAGTGTTTCTCTCACTCTCACTCCTCCTTCTTTCTCTCTCCAAAATAACCATGGCATTCCTCTGTTACTCGTGAATCATGTCAATAATTCTAATATATTACAAAATTTATTTGGTTATTAGTGCTCCTAATCAGTGGTGTGTTCTTTTCTATTTTGAATTTCAGTTCTGATAGTCTTGTAGAAAATTCATTGTTTACCTTATAAGAAACCTAACATTTTGTGAATGGTTGGAAACCCATTGTTTAACTTCTATGAAAATTTATTTTGTTTATATAGCAAGAATCAGTATAAAACAATGATAATTGAGAATTTTTAGAATTTATAATATTGTAAATTACATGAAATTACTCCACAATAAAATTGATATTTGTTATATGATCTAATAGATTCAGATACAATTTTTTATACTAATATAATCATTGTACATATACCAGGTCATTGTTATGAAAGATAAGCAAAACTTTCTACTCATGCCACTTAAAAAATGATATATTAAAGTGACTATGTTTGAGTTGACGTGATCGCGTTAAAGTATAATATTGCATCTTACAACTCAAATACGTATACATTCAGTAAGCTCCGTGATGATAACCATGTAGAAGAAGAAAACAAGATAACTTTGCATACCAATGACGACTTGCTTGCTTAAGCCCATACAAAGAACGTTTCAAGAGACACACTTGATCACGTTTAGCTGAGAGACTTGGAGGTACATGCATGAAAACCTGTTCATGAAGCTCTCTATGCAAAAATGCGTTATTCACGTCGAGTTGTTTGAGGTACCAATTATTTATGGATGCCAAAGCTAGCAACATAGAACAATGGTTATCTTGGCAACGGGTGAGAAAGTATCGAGAAAATCTAGTCCCTTGGGTTGATTATACCCTTTCGCAACGAGACGAGCTTTGTATCTCTCAATGGTGCCATTAGCATTATACTTAATCTTATAGACCCATCTACATCCAATAGGAACCTTGCCAGGGGGCAGATTGGTTAAAGTCCAGGTGTGATTCATCTCAAGAGCAGCAAGTTCATCCCTCATAGCCTTAACCCAACACTCATATTTGGAAGTCTCAGGATAAGAACATGGTCCAATGATTACAGATATTGAACAAATAAAATGATGAAATGAATAAGATAGATGATGATAAGAAAGGAAAGCATGGAGAGGATACCTGACATTTGAAGAAGCTAGTATAGTTGATACAAGATTGCAATGGAAATTTTTGAGATATGATGGTGGTAAACGGGTTCGAGATGAACGTCTGATATGGGATGGTTGAGAAGGAAAGGAAGACTTATTTGGTGAGATAGGGACATTTAGAGGTTGACTAGAAAAAGAAGGTTGATCATGTGACTCTGAAGTACTTGGTTAAGACATTGCAGGTTGCTCAGAAAAAGACTGAGAAGAATCAGTAATATCATGTGGGGCATTTATGAGTGGTGGTAAAGGTTGTTCTGCTGCAGGGCTAAAACTTATAGGCTGGTTAGGTGAAATAGCTTCAATGGAAGGGTGAAGGATATGGCTAGTAGGTAAAAGGATGTTATCATGTACGCTACATGTGAGATACAATGGCTTTCTTTCCTTCTTGACGATCTTCGAATCCCTTATGAGAGACCTGCTTTGCTCTTTTGTGATAATGATTCCACTGTCCAGATTGCTCGTAATCAAGTTTTCCATGAGAGAACGAAGTATATCGAGATAGATTGCCATGTTCGTGAAAAGATTAATCTTGGTGTTCTCAAGTTGCTCCCTATATCTTCTTCCATGCAACTTACGGATATTCTTACAAAAGCGCTTCATCCTCATGTTTTCAAAAACTTTTATGGCAAGCTGGGAATGTCTAATATCCATTCCAAGCTTGAGGGGGGCTCTTACAACTCAAATACGTATACATCCAGTAAGCTCCGTGATGACAATGGGTAGATTCTTCATGCAGCCCATGCATGCAGCCCCTAGCCCATGCAACTCATTAGTTTTTCTATTATTTTGTTTTATTTGCTTTTCTGTTAGCATCATTGTATCGAATCTTTTCCGTTTTGCTTTTTTATCATTTGCTTGTAACCACCTTCTCTTTCTTCTCCTTCCCTTGTACTTATATGGGATATTTTTCAATAATGAAGATTAGAATGAGGTTGCATTTTCTCTCATTTATTCAACTCTGTATTTTTCTTGGATTTATGATTGCATTCAATAAATTGAATTATGAAATTACTGGATTTTGGCTTTCTTAAAAAAAGTTCATATTTATGTATTTATTTATTTATTTTATTATATTTAT